GTGGGAACAAAATAAAACAACCCCAAAATAAATGTTTCCTCCCGTCCTTATGAGTTGCTGGAATCCAGAAATAGCTTCTCAAATCTATCATTTTAAATGGCATCGTTCACAGCCCTCTCACAGGGATACTGTGATGCACACACATCACTTTCTCTTTTTAAAGACCATGAAAAATTTGAGCTCAGTGACTTTGGGGTTGTTTTCCGGCCCTGAAATAAAAATTATGTTTACAGAGAAAAATATAGCCTTTACATGGGTTTTTAAAGAAAAATAGTAACCCAGGGGAGGAAAAGGACAGGAAGAATATTGTGTCCATATAGATCATAAACTGGAACAGTAAAAACGTCTGGCAGGCAGTAATTGCCGGCCAGCTGCAGGGATTGTGGTCCTGTGAGTTGTGTTCAGGGCAGTGTGCCAAGATGCTGGCAACCAGAGGACTGGCCTGGACCATCCCAGCCCTCCGTGAAGTCAACTGGGGCCTGAGTGTGTAGATAAGAGGGTGACCTCCTCCGGCCAAGTTCTCTCAGAGCACAGAGTCTTGAGGCCGCCTCTCTCTGCTGCCTCTGTTGGAACCAGGCTACTGGCTTGGGGATTGATGGTGGCACTCTTAGGGATGACTCTGGCAGCATCTCTGGTCAGGAGAAGGGTCATTAGCCTTGAGTGTCATATTGATATTTTCCCCTGGAGAAGCCAGAGAGCACATTTCAAGGGTGAGAAGCCCATGAGAACCTCCTGGCTCAGTGCTTGGGAGACTATCAGTGTCTCGGGCCAGAGAAAGGGAGGGAAAGAGTGTAGGTGCTGCCTGCCTTCTGCCCACTCATTTGTTCCTTTCTTGAAAAAAACCCAGTGGGTGGGCTGTTGGGCATAAGGACAGGGTGGGTTCCTCATCTTAGTTGCTCCATCGCTGTCGTAAATGCCCACTGGCTCCCACTCAGTACTCCAGTGTCTGCCAGTTGGGCTTTTATCAGAACATCTATGAACAAGCGAACATTCCAAAGAGACGTGGAGGGATGGGTGCTGGAGGAGTTGGGTGTGTTGCTGCTGGGAGATGGCAGGACACTACATCTGTCACCTTGCTTTCAGTCTCTCCCGCCCACTCACACCTGACCAGGCTGGGGCACCTGAAGACAGAACAGGCCTACCCTCCGTGAGCTGTGAGTCTTGGCCCCAGGTGCTGTTTTAAAATCCTAGGTTGGAGCTTCCCTGGTGGCACAGTGCTTAAGAATACACCTGCCAATGCAAGGAACACGGGTTCGAGCCTTTGTCTGGGAAGATCCCACATGCCGCGGAGCAACGAAGCCCATGCGCCACAACTACTGAGCCTGAGCTCCAGAGCCCGCGAGCCACAACTCCTGAAGCCCGCGTGCCTAGAGCCCGTGCTGTGCAACAAGAGAAGCCACCGCAGTGAGAAGCCTGTGCACTGCAACAAAGAGTAGCCCCCGCTCGCCACAACTAGAGAAAGCCCGCACGCAGCAACGAAAACCCAATGTAGCCAAAAATAAATAAATAAAAACACCCCAAAAAACCATAGGTTGTATTAATTGTTTAGGTATGGTGACAGGAGACGACACATCAGGAGCCCACTGCCACTGAAAACATAGCTTGTTACTTGCAGTTCCCAAGAGATGGAGGGATGCCATGCCATGCAGGGCCACCTGGGGAGGCACCAGGGACAGTCAGGAGTCAGAGGGAGTGAGGCCAGGAGCTTTTACTGGGGGAAGGCATGGGTGAGGCAGGATAAGCAGGCTAAGCAGGTCAGGATTTTTTTGGTTTAGGCTGGTTTGAATTATTCCAGCAGGTTTGGGGGCCCTGGGGGCTGTCCTAGTGGTCTGGCCAGGGGGAGATTAGGGCAGGGGAACAGTGGCCCAGAGTGAAAGAGCCCCTGAAGGAGGTGATGCGGGCTCCGGATTGGCTAGTTGGCAATGAAAGATGTAATCCTTTGCTCCCTCAGGGAATTGGCGAGTCCTGGGAGGGGCAGTCCCTCCAGGGTCAGCAAGGGCCCAGATGGCAACGCATCAAAACATGTGGTTAATACAGGTGCACACGGCGCCAGCATGAAAGGGAAAAGTGCTCCCATGTGGGAGGAGTAACAGATGAAATGCTCGGGGCAGTCTGGGGAGAAGCAGCTGCCTGCTTTGATGGCTTTGGTTTGGTGTTTGAAGGGGTGAGTCCAGAGAGGGGAGGACGTCTCAGTGGGAGGAGGGGGCTGAGCCACCAAAAATATGACGTGTGGTAGTTAGGGGTGAGGTTGGCTGCAGGCAGAGAGTCCGCCTGGACAGGGGCCCAGTATGGGAAGGCGTCTGCGGGGCTTAGCAGGAAGCAGTTGGGACCCTCAAGTAAGGCCAAAGCAGGTTCTGAATGCCAAGCTGAGGCACTTGGATTTTATTCTGTGTGAGCTGCCAGGGCTGTTTTGCCCTCAGGAATTCTCCTAATGAATTCACAGACTCCTACAGAATGACTCCACTCGGCTGTGTATCATAATCACAGCACTTAATTAACAAATTAGGATGCTGATGTAAATTTATGCTGGATGAAAAATAGAAATCCGCTGTGGCAGGGCTTGAAAATGCAGTGCCTCCCAAGCTTGCAGGTAATGTCGGCGAGTGGAGAGGGCTCTGGGGATCGTGGGGGGCGGCCATGCCCCCAGTGGAGGGGTTGACGGCCTCAGACCTCCAGGGAATCCCATCACGGGAATGGGGTCCAGCGTTGCCAGATCTTCTTTGTTTTCAAGAGAGCCTGGAAATGCAGATCCCTGTTGTGAAATCACTTGGTCGCTTGGCAACGCGTTAGCTAAACTCCGTCCTCCCTATCAGCACAGGGAAAGGCACTGAGAGGCCAGCTGTGTGGACCCTTGGTGGCCTCTTTCTGCTCTCCTGTCACCCCAATTGAATTGTGAGGCTCAGAGAGGAAATGGGGTGATTTCAAGGTGTTCCTCCATTGGGGAACTGAGGCACGGCAGGTCAGGGGTCAGATCTGGCATCCAAAGACCTTCTGTGAGGTCGGAGCGAGCCACTCTGCGGTGCTTCATTGGTATTTCCTCGTTGCCAAGACTCATTAATTCTTTCATTCATTCAGTGACTATTGAGTGCCTGCTGAGTGCCGGCCAAGACCAACACTACACACACAAAGTCAGAAAACGTGATGGGATACTGTCTCAAAGTATATTCTCGTTGTAATTATATTTCAGCAAAACAAAACCTAAAAGGCGCTGTGATCAGTCCCTTATTTTGCTGTCGCCATGTGGGTGATGCTTCCTGCAATGATGCTCTGGCACCAAAGGAGGAAATACTGGTGACCGACAGGGTGGGATGAGGGGGTGATGGGAAGGAGGGACGCGCGAGGCTCTCCCTGCCTACGCCACCTGGGTTGCTTCCGTCCGTGTCCTGGGCTGTGAGCTTCAGGCTATGAGCTCCGTGGCCGGGCCTGAGCCTTCTTGACCTTGGGGGACGCCTGGCACCTCGGGTGATGCTGGCACCGAGCAGGCCCGCAGATGTCCGCCAGGGGAGTGAATCGCATGTGGCGATAGCTGGTTTCGGTGGAGAAGAGTTTAGCCACAACGACCATAGGAAAAGTTCCAGTAGAAACACAGCATTTCAAAATGCAAGTTAAGAGAGTGGGCACAAATGGAGTTTGTAGAATGACCCGACGTTATGGTGACACCATTATTGGGTCTGTGACTGTTTTATTGGTTTCACGATGATCTGGAAAAAGCTGAGAGGTTTTCCTACGGACTGTCAGACTCCTTTGGCACTGTGCCCTGTTGTGGTTGGAATGGACGAAGGGCATGGGCAAAGGCAGGGTGGGGTCATGTTCCTCAGACAACTATCTGTGGGGTGGTTAGATGGCGTCTGGGGAAGCTATGCTCGTAGAAAACGAGCCTGCGCTCACAGTGTGCCTGTGTGTGCTTGCTGTTAGGTCTGTCCTCACTGCCTCCCATCCACATGAGATGGCCAGGTTGTGAATTCTAGATGCTTTATGAACTAAAAAGATCATGGTACCCTCCTTTTAATTACAAATAGGAAGAACAGTAAAGCATACAATTATGACCCAGAAAGTATGAAACAAATTTTTTAAAAATTTGCTGTTTCCCGTCTCTCGTTGAGTGATTGATGGATATCCTCATTTCATTGGCATCTGAAGCACAGGTTCGCCCTGCCTGTTGGATAACCTAGCACGATGTGCACCTGTGTGCGTACGTCTGCACATGTGTGCACGTGTGTGTGTGAAATGTGTCAGAAATTGACGTTAAGATCGGAGCTGTTCACAGAAGGGAGGCTGCCAAGCCCAGGATTGTAGAGCATCAGCCTGCATGGGGCAGGGGGGTGACCTAGACAGGCGGGGCTTGTGCTTTCTACAGCCGCGGGATTCTGTAGGATTAACCCACGGGTGATGCCTGGGAACAATCCCACCCCACTTTACAAGCTGCTCTGAGGAGGACCTCTGTTCACCCCTACGCAGCTGCATCAGAGCGAAAGGCAGTGCTGTCCACAGGGCACGGGGTTTAAGGAAGGATGTGGAGAACACCTTTTGCACGAGGAAATGCAGGGGAGGATTTAGGTGGGCTGAAAATAATGACCCACCTGTGAATCTGACAGAAGCACCGGGGTTGGCGTGGCCTCCTTGTTGAGACTGTCCTTTTGAAATATGTTCTAGGGTATCACTCCTATCCTATTAATTATGTCAGGAACTTAGTAAAGCTGAATAATTAATGATCTCCGTGCACTAGGAACTATAAAATGCCACGTAAATGTTAAGGAGTAAAAATTACTCTGTGTATTAAATAGATACCCTGCTTTAAAAATATTCCATGGTGGGAAGGTTAATTTCCAGAGCAGCTGAAAAGCTTTTTGTTGGACTATGTTCAGAAACTTTTGCCATCTTAAGTACATTTTAGGAGACTGAGGCATTCTGTATCTGAAGTATTTGAAAGACAAATGGCTGTTTGGGATGATGTTGCCTATTGGATTTTGGTAAAGTTGTGTCTGCTTGATTCTCTCTAGCCAGAGGCAGTTTGGGCCCAAAGCCAAGGAAGAGGTCAAGATTATTGAGCACCAAACACAGACCCTGCGGCTGATGCCTCACCTGGCTACGGCCTTGGCCCTGTCCTTCGCCAACAGGTGAGATGCCTCTGGGGGTTTGCCCTCTTGAGGTGAGTCTGCGGCTCTGGCATTAATAGGAGGCAGAAGAGAGAGGCAGGCAGGGGCTTCACTTCTTTTCTTTTGTAAAAACTTTTTTATTTTTTTAAAATTTACCTTTAACTGTGAACACGGAAGAGTCTGTGGTTAAAATCCAGTGCTCAGGTCAAACTTGCCATCTGAATCTCGGTAGTCCATATATCCTGATGATGGGGTCCACGAAGAATTTGGGATGATCCGAACTGACGCTTCTCCAGAGTTTCTAAAAGAAACAGACTCAAACAGTTGAAATTTCTCTACCTCTGAAAACGGTTCTAATTTATACTAATATTTTCAAAAATAGGTCAAGATGTGTACATATGGTGGCGGGCTATTGAATAAAAGAGCAGTAGGGGCTTCCCTGGTGGCGCAGTGGTTGAGAGTCCGCCTGCCGATGCAGGGGACACGGGTTCGTGCCCCGGTCCGGGAAGATCCCACATGCCGCGGAGTGGCTGGGCCCGTGAGCCGTGGCCGCTGAGCCTGCGCGTCCGGAGCCTGTGCTCCGCAACGGGAGAGGCCACAACAGTGAGAGGCCCGCGTAACGCAAAAAAAAAAAAAAAAAGAGCAGTAATAATACTGTAAATTCACACGGAACTTCACATTTTACAGCTGGCTCTTCTTATCTTTGTCTCAGGAGCCTAGACATTGCCTGGGCAGTTGTGGGTCATTACCACATGGTAAAGATCGGAAATTAGGGGATTTGCCTAAGATCACAGGGTCCAGGAGTGGGTGGACTGGGAATGTAACTCCAGACTTTGGACCCTTATCTGTGTTCTTTCCTCCCTGTGCAATCCTGCTTCTTGTGGGAACTACGAGAATTAATTTCTGAATAATTTAGAACTGGCGTGTGTGTGAAACTGACCGCGCCAACGGGTAAGCTGGTGCCAGGGTTTATGAAAAGAAGGTGATTGGAGAGATTCTGCCTCTAGTGTGCTGCTGGCTTGTGGGGCTGCTCAGTGCTGCTGGCCTGGCTGGGAGGAGCTTGGGCGGGCGCCCCTCTGCCCTTATGCGCTCGACACTGGGATACCGGGGTGTGTGAACGGCGAACCCTGCAGACTGAGCTTCGGTAGCAGCACTGAGATTGATCCAAGCCACCTGGAAGAAAATGTAAACCACTCACTTCTAACATCTTCCTTCAAATATTCTTGAATGTCTTTTGAGGTTGAATTTGCATATTGTAAAATGCACAGATTTTATTGCTCAGTGAGTTTTGACAAACATATGCACTGGTGTGATGAACACTTAAACCGAATCCAAAACATTTCCATCACTCCACAAGGTTCCCTCGTGCCCCTCTGCAAGTTGCCCTACTCACCACCACAGCAGAGACAACCACCTTTCTGATTTCTATCCCGATAGCTTTTTCTGCCTGTTCTTGACCTTCATATAAATGGAATCATACAGTATGTCTTTGTGGGTGTGTCCAGCTTATTTCGTTCAATGGAATGTCTTGATGTTCCTCAATGCTGTTGAGAGTTTAATTTTTATTGCTGAGTAGTAACATTCAGTGAATAAACCACATTTTTTTTTTATCCATTTCTGTCACTGATGAACATTCAGGTTGTTTCCAGGCTTTTAGCTACTATGAATAAGCCACAGTGAATATTCTAACACAAGTTTTTCATTTTTCCTAGGGTAAATGCTTAGAGAGGACTTGCTGGGTGTTGGGTATGTGTATGTCTAACTTCATAAGAAACTACCTGTTTTTCAGGGAGGTAGGACCATTTTATGCTCTCTTGGGCAATATATGGGAGTTCCAATTGCTCTGCATCCTTGCCAGCCATTGTTATGATCAGGTTTTGTCTTGCTTTGTTTTAATTTTAGTTTATTTTGGTCTTTCTAATAGTTGAATTTTATTACCCTAATAACTAATGACATTGAGTGAGTATCTTTTCATGTGCTTATTTGCCATCTGTATATTTTCCTCACCCATTTTTTAAAAGTTATTTTTATTTATTTATTTATTGGCTGCATTGTGTCTTTGTTGCTGTGCGTGGGCTTTCTCTAGTTTCGGCGAGCAGGGGCTACTCTTCGTTGCGGTGCACGGGCTTCTCATTGTGGTGGCTTCTCTTGTTGTGGAGCACAGGCCCTAGGTGCACGGGCTTCAGTATTTGTGGTGTGCAGGCTCAGTAGTTGTGGTTCGCGGGCTCTAGAGCACAGGCTCAGTAGTTGTGGCGCACAGGCTTAGTTGCTCTGCAGCATGTGGGATCTTCCTGGACCAGGGCTAAAACCCGTGTCCCCTGCACTGGCAGGCGGATTCTTAACCACTGCGCCACCAGGGAAGTCCCACACCCATTTTTAAATTGGGGTATTTATTTTCTTATTGTTGAGTGTCAGAGTTCTTTTTATACTCTGGATAGATTCATATATGTGATTTGCAACTATTTTCTCCCAGTCTGTCACTTTGGCTTTTATTTTCTTAAAAGTGTCTTGATCAGAGCAATAGTTTTTAATTTTGATTTGATTTGATAGCTTTAAATTTTGATTTGTCTTGAAATTGGGTAATGTGAGTTCTTTTTCAGAATTGTTTTGACTCTTCTCATTCCTTTTTGCCTGTACTTATACGTGTTAGAATCATCTTGTAAATATCTACAGGAAAGATGGCTGGCATTTTGCTTGGGATTGTGTTGAACCTGTAGATCAAATTGGGGAGAACTGACTTCTTAATGTTGAGACTGCCAATTCATGAACACCGTGTATCTTTCCATTTTTAAAGGTCTTCTTAGATTTCTCGCTCCAGTGTTTTGTAATTTTCAACACACAGATTCTGCACATATTTTGTTATATTTATACCTAAGCATTTTACTTTTCTTTGGTGAAATTGTTTATTTCTAGTATATGGGAATAGTATTTACTTTAGTATATTGATCTACAATCTTGTTTGTACATTTTAATACATATAGCATTCTTCAGATTACCTATTTCTTCTTGAATGGATTTTTATTTACTTCATCTAATTTGTCAAACTTACGGCAATAGTGTTGGTTGTGGTATTCCTTTATCATCCTTTTAATGTCTGTGGAATCAGTAGTGATTTCGTCTCTTTCATTCCTGATATTTTGTTCTCTCTCTCCCTCATCAGTTTGTATAGGTTTATCAATTACATTGCTTTTTCAAAAAAACAGATTTGATACAATTGATTTTCTCTACTGTTTTTCTGCTTTTAATTTTCTTGATATCTCCTCCAATGTTTGTTATTTCTTTCCTTCTACTTGCTTTGCTTTAATCTCTTCTCACTCTCTCTTAAGGTGAGAGGTTAGGTTACTGCTTTGAGACCTTTCTTCTTGCCTAATCATTTAGTACTAAAATTTCTCTGTAAGCATTACTCTAGCTGCATCCCTCTGCTTTTGATACGTTGTATTTTCATTCAGTACAAAATAGTTCACAGTTTTCCTTGAGACTTCTGCTTTGACTGCTTTGGTTATTTGGAAGTACTGTCATGGTCCAAGAACATATTATGAAGGATTCTGTTCTTTCAAATTTAAGGCCCAGAAGACACACACACACACACACACACACACACACACACCCCTAACACATTCCACATTGCGAAGAATATATATTCTGTTATAGTTGGGACGATAGTTCTATAAATGCCAATTAGGTTAAGTTGGTTGGTTGTGCTCTGCAGACTATATACATCCTTTCTGATTTTCTGCCTACTTGTTCCATCAATGGCTGAGAGAAAGGGGTTGGCATTTGCAGCTATAATTATAAATTGGTCCATTTCTTCTTTCAGTTTCATTAGTTTTTGTCTCAAGGATTTTGACGTTTTTTAGATGCATATACATGTAAGGATTATTATATTTTCTTGGACAATGATCCCTTTATCGTTATGTAATTTTTCTCTTAATCCCTGAAAATATTCCTTGTCCTGAAGTCTATTTTGTTATATTAATATAGCTACTCCAGGTTCCTTTTATTTAGTGTTTTCATGGTACGTCTTTTTCATACGTTCATTTTTAACCTGGCTATATTTTTAAAGTGGGTTTCTTTGTAAAACAGAGGATAGTTAGGTCTTGATTTTTTTATCCAACTTGAAAATCTCTGACTTTTAGTGGGTGTGTTTAGACCAATTGTATTTAAAGTGATTGTTGATATGTTTGGATTAAAATCCACACTGATAGCTGATTTTTATTTTTTCCATCTGTTTTTTTGTTTCTTTTTCCTTTTTTTCTGCCTGCTCTTAGGTTAAATGAATATTGTTTATTATTCCATGTTATCTCTTTGATTGACGTTATTTATACTACTTTTGGAAATATTTTCCTTGTTGACCCAGCGTTTACAGTATACATCTTTACTGAATTAGAGTCTCTGTTGAACTATTATACTGCTTCCCCTGTCGTGTATGGACCTAAAACAGTATATTCCAAATTCCTCCCTTCCATCCCTTTTTCTGCTATTGTTGTCACATAATTTACTTTTAAATATGCTGCAAACACACAATATATTGCTACTGTTTTTCTTTTACATAGTTCTGTCTTAGAGCAATTAAAAATCAGTAAAATTGAATTTTATTTTACCTTTATTCAATTGCTAACACTGTTAATTTACTTGTATAGATCCAAATTTCTAATTGATACCATATTTGTTCTGCCCGAAGAACTTCTAACATTTCTTGTAGAATAGGTCTGCTAGCAGCGAATTCTCCCGATTGTTTTTTTTTTTTTTTTTTGAGAAAGTCTTTATTTCTCCTTTCTTGAAAAAAGACATTACCAATATGTACAGAGTTCTGGGTTGATAGTTTATTTTTCTTTGAGCATCTTAATGATCTCACTCTATAGGCTTCTTGATTCCTTGATTCTCATGAGAAAACAGCCATCATTTTTCTGGCTGTTTCCCTATATTCCCCATATATGCCCACTTAAACTGCTTTTGAGATTTTCTCTTTTTCTTTGATGTTCAGAGTTTGATTATGTTGGCCTAGGTGTGGTTTTGTGGTT